CTTTATCCCAAAATTTTAAAGAGAGAAGAACTTATATATATATATACCAAAAATAAGGTTAAGTACTATGAAGGGATAGAATATGACTCTAAAAATGAAAAATAAAAAAGATTTTTTTAAAAAGGGATTGATAAGATGTTTGTTGAAAAAGGGAAAAAGAAATTTCAAAAAAAAAAGAAAAAGAACGTTAAAGAAATTAACTTTGAAAGACTAAAGAATCATGTGAAAAAAGTTATGAATTCTATGTGCAGTATTCCCCTAGCACTGGAGTTCTGCCATTCTCATTGATGGGTAAACTTGGTCTCGGTGGGCTGTTCTTGCTGATCTTCTGGGGGAGGGGCCTGTTGCCGTGGTTCCCAAATGTCTTTGCTGGAGGCGGAATTGCCCCACCCTTGCCTGGTCTAGGCTAAGTAATCTGCTCGGGTTTGCTCTCGGGAGCTTTTTCCCCTGCAAGCTTTCCTTATAGCTTTGGAGGAAGAAAGTGAAAATGGTGGCCTCCCAATCTCCACCCTGAGGAGCTGAGAACTTGGGGCCCACTCCTCAGTGAGCCCCCAGATAAAAGCAGTCAATCACTCCCATCTCCCCAGTTTCTGGCCGCACTCCGTGCTCACACAGCCTGTGACCGAGCGTTTCTATCTCTGGCACACAACCCCATGTGGAGTCACTAAACCCAGCAGACTCCCGCGGTGCACTCCTGCACCACTCCTCCCAGGGAGAGGAAGGGGAGTCTCCCCGGATCTGCCACTTGTTGGGTCCCTGCTGGAAGAGCAGTGGCCCGACTGTGCCATGGATCACGGTTTATGGCTACCCCGAGCTGAGAGCCCACTCCCCAGCTCCATCTCTGCAGCTGGCTTCCTGGCTCTGATACATGGGAGCTCTGCCACTCTGAGGCACCCCTGGTCTTTCTGTGACCCCAAGGGTCCTGAGACCACAATGTCCCACGAGGGTTCCACCCCCCTGCTTAGCCACTGGAGCGACGTCCCTCAGCACAGCAGACTTCTCAAAGTTCTGATTTTGTGCTCTACTGCTCTATCCCTTGCAAGTAGCGGCTGATGGAGACCCCCTCCACCATCGTCTATCTCCCTGAATATCACCTCAGATTCACTTCTCCGCACGTCCTACCTTCCAGAAAGCAGTTGCTTTTCTGTTCAGAGAGTTGCTGCTATTCTTTTCTTCGATCTCCTGTTGAGTTTGTAGGTGTTCAGAATGTTTTGATAGTATTCTAGCTGAATTCCTGAGACTAGATGAAATTTAGTTCTCCTAATCCTCCGCCATCTTGCACCTCCCTCCCCCTTCCTTGCTCTTAATCACAGGTTCATAAGCTGTTGGAAAAGGAAGGGCCCTTTGGACATACGTAGGTCAATCAATATCCACACATCAAATGGGATGTAGGGGTCCAGGGATGGCAAATGCCTTGTCCAAAGCTAGTTATCCATAGAGGCAGGGCTACAGCTGTTTTTCCAAAGATCACAGAATAGCTTCCAAGAGGCTTCTTCTTTCAACATATCAGAGAACTGTGTTTGTTTTCCAAGTTGAGTTTTATTTTTTATTTATTTATTTTTTTGTGATGGCAAAGTCCATTTGCACAGTTTATTTTAAAAGAGACAGATGTAAAGTAGAAATGCAGATGTTTTCCTGTTGTAAAGACAGCAGTTACAAAAGAGAAGGAATAAATATGACGCTGGGAAGTATTTTTAAAAATACAGAAAACCCCTGGTATTTGCAAGCAATCCCAAGTTGAGTTTTAATAAGGAATCTATTTTTCTGTGGGAGATAGAATTCCTCAAATTTCTTCTTTTATTCCAGGAAAATATAGTCATCACAGAAAGTATTTTCTCATTTTGCTTTCCCTGAAAAAAATTTGTGTTGTCAAATGGCAAAAGTGGCTTACTAAAAAGTGGAGACGATTGTTCACATTTCTCAAGTATATTTCTATTGGCATGTTTGCCTTTTCAGTTAGTGAAGCATATCGTCTTCAGAAATACAATCCTAAACTGCTGACACAGTAGGCCTGGTGTTTGTGAGAACAGAAGAGGTTTCCTTTGATGCATCTCTGAGCAGTTTCACACACTTGAGCACCTGGAAATCAAAGTCTCTTAATTCTCTGAACACTGTTTCTGGTAATTTAGAAAAGTCATTGGATGACCGGTTAGTCCTGATCTTCTTTTTCTTTCTTTTGTTTTTTCTTTCACTTTCTTTCTTTCACTTTCTTTCTTTCTTTCTTCCTTTCTTTCTTTCTCTCTCTCCCTCCCCCCCTTCCTCTCTTTCCTCTCTATCCCTTGCCTCTCTATTCCTTCCTTCCTTCCTTCTCTCCTTCCACCTTTCTTTCTTTTTTCCTTCCTTCCTTTGCTCCCTCCTTCTTTCCTCTCTCTCTTTCTGTTTATTTTTCTTTGCTCTCATCATATCCATTTTCTATCCGCAGTTTTCCATGATTGCTGCCTCCATCAAAACAGACATTTAGATCAATTAATCTGAGGAACATAAAATATCAGATGCCATGAAGCCTATATTCAAGCATTTTTAATGATCTCAAAAGATCAAATTGCCAGTACAAAGTTTTTACCTGCTGGCCCTGACGTGAGCCTCAGGAGAAGGCTTACATTTTTGTAGAAGCTCTAGCCAGTGTGATAACTTCTAACCAGGCTGGATCAAGATATTTGTAGAAGGAACTAAGTTCATAGTAACTCCTCCTGGTAAGTAACTTTGCTCTTTTTATATCCTGTGGAAAAAATACTGAGAGATGCTTTTTAGAAAAAACAATGTAGAATCAACTTAGCATTTGGACACAATTTTGCAGCTACTGGTCGCTATATATGAAACAAAACTACTTTGTAAATGGTTTATTTACTTCCCTGCTTGCAAGCAGATTGAAATTCTACTTTTAGAAAATATGTACATAAAAGTATAGATGCAGGCCTGAAATTAAAATATTTCTGTGACCTTGTCTGTGATATATTTGTGTAAGTTATTGGTTCAAGATGATATTCATGTAGGTGGCCTTTTAAGTGAGAAACACTTTGATTAAGTACCTGTAGTATTAATGGTGCTCCTTTCTTAATGAATAGTGTTCCTTTCTGTAATAACCCACAAAAACTGTATGATTGCTTTTGATTTCATCTTTAAGAGCAGTGCAAAAAATTTAACTCTTACAGTAGATGACTATAGAACATCAATAAATAAACACATTATTATTACTCTAATTTATTGGTGAGTAGGCTCAATTTAGTTAAAAATTGAGCTATTGCGGCTCTTGTGATATTGCCTAGAGATGGTCCAGTGTAATGGAATTTGTGAGCTCAGTAAACTCTTTCAGTTCCAGAATCCATGAAAAGAAGCTGTCAGCATGGTTTTACATCCTTGTTTTTTCATTTATTGAAGACAGTTTCTATGATGGAAGCTAGAGGTAAAAGGGTACACAAGACACAGTCCCAACACTCAAAAAGCTTGTAGCCTAGTGGATAAGTATTCTAGATTGCGGCTTGATTGAACCTCATGTATTTTGGCCTGCGGTTGCCAGACACATAGAATGTCGGACTCATGAGCTCTTTTGCTTTCTCTAATTTATATAATAAATACTTATTGCTTATAAAATCTATGTATTTGTTTAGTGGAAAATTTGATAAAGAGCCCCCAAACCATCTGATTAAAGACAATAATACTATTAGCTAATATTTATTGAGAGTCAGATATCATACTGCCAGGTTTCTGTGCTTTATCTCAATCCTTAAGAGTACTATACAGGAAATTTTCTTATTCCAATTTCACTGATGGGGAAACTGAGGCTTAGAGAGTTCAGTTATTTGCTTACATTCACGTGGCTAGTTACTATGCCAAAGTTTGGGACCAAATACTTCCTTGTTTGTTCCATAATGCATGGTCTATACCATTATATGCTATTAGAAACATTAAGCCATGCTTTTATTCTGAATATACAGTCCTTTGTAGTCTGACCTTTTAAATAGACTATGTAGTTGAATGTTTAATAGTAATAGCTCATAATTTGTATGACTCCTCATGCAGAAAACAATGCTTCTGCTTCTAATCATGGCACTAAAATTGCCTCTCTTCCCCCCAAGACTTCAAGTAAGTCATTTATTTATTATGTTGAATGATATGTTGAATATTCACTTATTAAATTCTCACAATGTGATTCTTAGGGTATTTCTATAAACTGCAAGTCCTTTTGTTACCATTCAATTCAATCTTTCTGTATTGGCATCAAATTTGCTGGAAATATGGAAGCTGGCAGAAGAAAGGGAGCAGTTGTACTACATGCAGGACTCGGCTGCAGAACTCAGAGCTGCCTTTGCACTCCTGCTGGACAGCTGCAGAGAGATCAAACCAAACAGGATCCTCCAAAACAGGGCAGCTCCGAGTTGTAAGTCCATATCCTGGAACTTGGTAGGGTAATTTCAAGTTCAAAGGTACAGTCTTTCAGGAATAAATGGGATCATCATTAATATTTCTCACTCTGTAACAACTCATCTGTTCTAGTATCAGTGAGGACTGAAATCTGGAAAGAACTTATGTTAAAATCAAACCTGATGTCTACCCTTCAATGTGCAGAGATTAAAAAAAACCTATAAAATATTGAACATTCATCTATTAAATATTAAAATATATTATGTCTATTTTTGTTCCTCTGTTAAAGTCACAGAAGTAGTAACTGTAAATTACACTCTAGGAAAAGAACTGATATGACACATGAAAACCTTTTAAGAAAAAAAGATTTAGAAGTTTCAGGAACATGGTGAGAAAAGGTAAAATCAGACTCTCCAATGCATGTGAGTGAGATGGGAAAGACAGACCCACGTTGCCCAGTCTGAGAGTGGTCAGTTCATCCATTCTTGACTACATTCATATCTAATGTGATTTTGCTTGAGATTTATCTTTGTTTAATATTAGCAATGTTTATCTATATATATTTATATAAATATTGGAAAAATATGGACACAATTTTAAAAGAGGCACACAGGGAGATTTCTGTAAAAGCTTTTCAGACAGTGTACATGGGATGGCTCATGGAAGAACAAAGTGTTTGGTCCTGGCACATTGCTCAGGATTACAGGTAAAATATGTTTTAATTCTTCCCTTAAGGTAGGGAGAGGAGGTAGGTGATGCAGGGAGGGCAGGCTAGGTGCTGGTGTTGGCTCAGAATTCTAGGATTTGTTCCTAGTTTAGTCATAAATAGCAGTGGGTTACTTGGAGAGGTAGTTGACTCTGTCCCAGTCCTAGGGGGTAGTTTTTGCCTGAGCTAGAATGGAGGAGATTAACAAGGAGCTAACTAGCTAGAGCAACTGAGGGTCTCTACAGGGTAGAGCTGTTAATCCCTTAGGGATTTCTGTGTTGAAACATTTGTAAAGAAATTTGTGTATCTTATTTATTAGATTCCAAAATGTAACCACAGGAAAAGAATGAACAAAAAATTGATAAACTTGCCATTTTGTCTGAATGCGATTCGTAGTAGGTATCGACATATTTAACTGCATAAATGTATCCAGGAATGGCATAAGCTGGGTTTGTTTTTTTCCAAATTCAGACTAGTAAATTTGTTCATTCTTCATTAGCCTAGGGATGAAATTTGGCCCAGATGAGGGAGAACATCTCACAGGGATGTTTCTACCCTATAGAATCTAGTCAAATGTTTTCAGAGAATCTTCACAAGGCTGGGGAAACATTGGAAAAGTGAAAGGAGTGATATATTTTGGTGTCTTTCTGGTTGTGATCATAGGCATGCATGAATTCATAAATTGAAAAGCAACTTTCTAGTTCCATTTTTTCCCCAACTGACTGCAATATAAATTCTAGCAATCTAATTAAACAATGGTGACACAGATGTAATTCATGAGGTCCTGAAATTTTTTTCATAGGAGAGTGTGGTGTAGAGAAAAATGTGTCCACATTCTGGCTCTTTTACTTTCTGTGTAGTCATCCTTCAGCCAATAAATTTTGATTCACTGGTTATTGCTTTCTTAACAGTATAGAAATAATACATGCCTATTAGGGAAAAATTGGAAAAGAGAAAAAATAAAGTATTAAAAATGTATAACATTTTTATTCTGTTATTATTTGTTATATTTATTCTTATTCTGTTAACATTTGCTATATTTCCATCCATCATTCTGTCAAGGTAACAGCCATCTCAAGTGGATGTTGTGGAACTAAATGAAATTAAATATGGAAATATCTACTGCATAGGTTGGGATGTAGAAATTCATTAAAAAAAGTCAGTTCTACAAATTCCAATTATCACTTAGTGGAGTTCTTTTTAAATGCAGAGTACATAAAATTGTATTAATTATGATCTAGTCTACAGGTCACTTAAGAATAATTGGTCAGTATTTGCGGAATACTTTCAATTTCTAAGACTCATTGTTACATGTTTCTAAAAATGAGTAGCGGGTGCCTGGGTGGCTCAGTTGGTTAAGCGACTGCCTTCGGCTCAGGTCATGATCCTGGAGTCCTGGGATCGAGTCCCGCATCGGGCTCCCTGCTCAGCAGGGAGTCTGCTTCTCCCTCTGACCCTCCCCCCTCTCATGTGCTCTCTCTCTCTCTCTCATTCTCTCTCTCAAATAAATAAAAAAAATCTTTAAAAAAATAAATAAAAAATAAATAAATAAATAAAAACGAGTAGAATGTAGTAAGCATTACCTCATATATTGTTAACCTCAACATAAGTTGATCTCTCCCTTTTCAGTGGAAATGTCTGGATATAAACAAGGGAGATGTTTTATAATTGAATATATAAAATTATGCTAATATACATAAAAAGTCAAGTGTTCACTTTTTTAATAAAGCATTTTATTTTTTATTTATTTGAGAGAGAGAGAACATGCATGTGAGAGAGAGAGAGAATGTGCACAGGAGCTGGGGGGAGAGGCAGACAGAGAAGGAGAAGCAGACTCCCAGCTGAGCAGCGAGCCCAATGTGGTGGGTTCCATCCAGGATGCTGGGATCATGAACTGAGCCAAAGTCAGATGCTTAACAGACTGAGCCACCCAGGTGCCCCTCAAATATTCATTTTTAATAGTTTGTATCTTCATTGGATTATACCTATAAATTAAAAATTATATTATTACAAATATCACTTGAGAAATACTGTTTTTTAACCTCATATTTTATTAAAAATTTTGTTCAGATTCTTCACATGCATCTAAAATATATACTTTAGAGCAAATTTCTAAGTCATCTTAGGGTCTGAGTGTCTGGGGATACTTTTATGATGATGTCTTTGGATATTTTACTGGAACAGACATTTATCCACTTACAAAATAAAAGCATTTTTTTTCATTTATTCTGTCATTCTGTATATGTACAATGTAAGCATAAAGTATAGAGACTTTAGTCCCAGGTAATATTTACCGAATACATATTAAACGTCCTTATTTTTTTTTTTACCAGTGCTACCTCTAAACTGGCTTTAGTTGAGTTTATTTCAGGTTGATATCGTGTCCAAGTGTATTGTTCAATCAAAGTAGAGTATTAGAAGAGTATTTTTTAAAATGAGAGATTGTCCAAACTGAAACATAAGGGAAATTCTGTTTTATAAGGCATAATTTTGGGAACAAAAGCTTCATCTTATATTCTGCCATTTCAGTGTGTTTGAATTCTGAATTCAGCGTGTTTGAATTCTGAATGTTTTGCATTTATATCACAGAGTGGTATTTGCAAATATCTTCTCCCATTTTTCATGTCAACTTTGAGGTAAACCTTACTAAACTATCAAGCTCTGGGGCAGAAAAAGAAACAAGCTCTAATGCATGAACTATTTCTCATTTATTTATCCTGCCTATTTCCAAAATCTATTTGAGGAGACCTAAAATAAAATGTGCAAGAACAGTTAGGCAATGAAACAAAAATAGAATACCAAAAGCACTAAGGAAATGGAAGCAGAAGAGAAAAGCCTATAATTATCTAGCATGAAGCATAGGGTAAAATTTTATATTCAAATGTAGGGGGAAAGTTGTAGTGGAGTACGTACTTTTTATTAACTGAGAAAATGAAGCACACCAAATTTTCAAATATGTTTTTCCCACCTTAAAATGAGAAAAAGACTTCAATGCATGAATCTTTTAGGAGCAATGTGAAGTGAAAGAGTGAGCATTGCCTTCTACATCCATTTTAGAAAATGGAAGAAATGGTCTTTAACAAACACATTTCATGTTACCACTGCATTATTACTATGGGCACCATGATATTTAATGTCATTCACAGATGATGACCTTCAGAAGACTTGGTCAGGCAGGTGAGTGTCTAGTGATCTAACATGACAATAGGAGGCTTGGATGTCAAGGCAACCAGCCATTGATTTAATCATTCCACCATGAAGGCCCACTGTAGATGTTTGAAGCCAAACTTTGGACATGAGCTGGAACAAAGTCAGTTTGAGGTAGAAATTTCTGAGGAGAGCTTGGAATGCTCATAGATTGTGCAGTCGCTGGAAAAAGTGCCATTTGCTTTGAACAATACAGGTGAATCAGTTCCATGAATTGACCCCCTATTACTGGGCTTTACTAGCTTCTATTTGATTTTCTTAACACTGGAAAGGCATTGAATAAGATAAGACAAGTGATTCCTTAATAATTGTGTGAAAGACACATTTTCAGTGATCATGGTTCAGAGAATTCCAGACATAGTAGAGCAAAGAGAGGTGCAAACGAAGGAATGAATCTTGATGCTCGATTGGCATAGGTCCAATTGTTATCCCCAAATACTGCATTCTTATTAGTAAGAGAAGGTTTGGTCTCATGAGATTAAAATGTGATGTTGGAGCGCACAATCATCACAAACAAATTGCTAATAATAATGGTAATGATAACTATAATTATAATCTTTCATTTTCATAGCATGTTTAGATGTGGAAATCTTAGGAGAGATTTTGATACAAATCCTTCCAGTAAAGGCCAGCATAGATAACATTGTGCAAACACTGTAATAGGATTTGCCCTTGTGTCTGTGTGGACTTGCATGAAGTGCTCATGCACATGTGTCATTGTCTTGAAAGCGTTTGGCCCAAGAACAAACTTGATCATGACAGATAAGTTGTGTGAGTTGACACATTGCCTTTTCTGATGGTAAAAGGGTGTTGCCCCATTTCAAACCTAAAGGGAGAATTGTATCCGTTATGGAAAGTGGTTTGTAGCCAACCATACAGACAGAGCAGAAATTCTCCAGAGGATTCAGCTCTACTTCTAACCACTCTAGTGGAAAGTTACCTTACTGTCCACTGATATACAAAAACCTTGAATTTAGAGGTATTTGTTTAATGGACTTCCCCCTAACTTGGCACAAATTTTTTTTTTTGGTATTTTTAAGTTTTGTATGTACTTAAATCTTAATCCTTTATCTTAATTGATAACATGCCTGACACTAATAAGTTTGGCTTCACACTGGTATTTAGTAGAAAAACAATTAAAATTTTAAATTTTATTTAGAAAATGCTTTGGAATATAGTTAGGGATACGGTTAGTACTTTTAAATATATTTAGAAATGTCATAAATTTGAATTTCATATTTACATGAGAAATAGTTTTAAGTATTTTTAATAAAAATGAGAAGAATAAAATAGAGGAATTTTGAATCAATATTAATATGCAGATCTGAAATACCATACTTAATTGAAAATGTCATTGCATTTGGTTAGTTTATGTAGAATTCATACTGCTTCATAGTCATCAAATATATACAACTCAGGCAATTTACCTGAAAATTTTTTTGATTATGAATATTATAAATGTATTGGGAAAATTTATTTATTTTGTAAAATGGTTTCTGTTTTATAAATTAATGAAATGATTGTGGCCATAAAAAACACTCTTAATAAGTTTTAAAAAGAATGTTGTGGAGCACCTGCGTGGCTCTTCGATTAAGCATCTGGTCATGATCTCAGGGTAGTGGGATTGAGCCTTGAGCTCCATGTTGGGCTCCAGGCTGAGCATGGAGCCTGCTCAGGATTCTTACTCTCCTTCTTGTTCTGCCTCTCCCCCACCACTCTCTCTCTCTCTAAAATAAATAAATAAAATCCTTAAAAAAATAGGAATGGTAGGGTGCCTGGGTGACTCAGTTGTTAGGCATCTGCCTTCAGCTCAGGTCATGATCTCAGGGTCCTGGGACTGAGTCCCACATTGGGCTCCCTGCTCAGCAGGAAGCCTGCTTCTCTTTCTCCCACTCCCATTGCTTGTGTTCCCTCTCTCGCTGTGTCTCTCTCTGTCAAATAAATAAAATCTTTTAAAAAATGGTAAAAAAAAGTGTGTGTAATATAATTCCATAAAATATAGGCACTGATCATATATAATCAATAATACTATTTAATGCTCAGTTAACTATCACATTGAGAAAGTTATGGAAGTTCAAGATACCTTCTATTCTGAAAAGAATGAAACTTCAGGGCTCTAGCTAAGTAAAAGTGACAGGAGGTAAGCATAATGTCTTGCCATCCCAATTTTTCCAACTCATGATTTGATTTTCAAGTTCCTTACTATGATGAATCATAAGTATTCCTATGAAAAACCAAACTTTTTAAGATGAAAACTAGATTATTTAATGTATTGACCAGAGGCAAAAATTATGTAAATACCGTGTACTCTGAAAAATAAATCTTGCTTTATATAATATGTTTTTTAAAGTAAAGACAAAATATATGGTTGAGGAAATATACTGTGTCTTACTCTTTTTTTAAAAAGATTTTATTTATTTATTTGACAGAGAGATAGAGCCAGAGAGCACAAGTGGAGAGAATGGCAGAGGGAGAGGGAGAAGCAGCCTCCCCAGTTGAGCAGGGATCCCAAAGCGGGGCTCGATCCCAGGACCCTGGGATCATGACCTGAGCCAAAAGCAGATGCTTAACCATCAGAGCCACCCAGGCGCCCCATACTGTGTCTAACTTTATAATCAGTAAAATACTATTTGCACTATAAGGAAGATGTAAAAACTTAAAACAAGTGCATTATGACCTAATATTTATTTATACCATAAATAAAAAAATCATCATTGCTTGGTTACTCATTTAGTATAAAATCAGGAGCTTTGGTGCACAAGCAAAAATTCTGAAGAATTTTTTTTCCTTTCTTCTCAAAGGAGAAATCTATTTTTTTCTTAGGAAATGGCCCATGAAATTATTATTCTAACTCCAAACAACTGGAAAGAGAAAATTAGTAAACAATTTGTGTTTCAGTTGGAACACAAATTGGAAAGAATTCTACTATTTATAATTTTAATCATCAATTAATAATAATGTATAACCAAGGAATATTCCAGCCTTCAAGTGACATGACCTTGAAAACCATGTTTTATTATATAATTTGACATTATGTTTGCAAAAAACCCAGACTATAACCGTTAACATGACACCATTAGATGATATAACTTTATTCAGCAGGTGAAATGAAAGAAAATTGAGGGGGTACTACAAGTTCTGCAGGCTTGTAGGGCAGATTCAGATTTGGGGAGAGATGATAAGGGTCAAATATGGCGTCTTCTTAGTCAAGGTATCTTCAAATGAAATTCCAATATAAAATGTACTTTTAGTGAAAATTTCCTGAAGCAAAACAAAATTCTGACCACTGCATTACTTGATTGGGTTACTATATGAAAATTTCTGAAAATAATCAAAAAAAATTTTAGATAGAAGTTTGGAAATATGACCATTTTGTTTCTAAATTTCAGGTATTGTAAATAATTTGGAGGTGCAGCATTAAACATTGCCCTACTCAAAACCATGCAGTAGTTCAGATGTGAGAACGAGATGTTCTATAGAATCAGAAATCAAGAAGAAGAATTCCAGTATCAGAAATGGGCATGGGATCCTTATTTGTAAATAAAAGTTCAACTTGATAGATTCCCACTCAAACAAGTGATTGTGTATTGTTTAAAAAAATTCCATGATTTGATCCAGGGCTTTTCACTTAATAGCTGTGACTTTGGGCAAGTTACATAACCTCTAGACCCTCTTTTCCCAAGGAAATTAAGAAAATAAGCGCCTCATAACCTTCTGTGGATGAAAAGCCACAGTAAGCACTAATTCTATAGCAAATTTCTTCCCTTTTATTATGTGCTGGGTGTTTCCAAACCACACAATGTTTGTGTTTCTCTAATATGTTTTTTTAAGATTTTATTTATTTATTTGACAGAGAAAGAGAGCACAAGTAGGCAGCAAGGCAGGCAGAGAGAGAGGGAGAAGCCGGCTCCCTGCTGAGCAGAGAGACTGATTCAGGGCTCTATCCCAGGACCCTGGAATCATGACCTGATGCGAAGGCAGATGCTTAACTGACTGAGCCACCCAGGTACCCTCCAATTATGGTTTAATTGTTATTCCATTTTCTCCAACAGATACAAGTCCTGATGAAGACATTTCCCCCAAGCCCACCATTTTTCTTCCTTCAGTTGCTGAAATACAAATCCATAAGGCTGGAACATACCTTTGTCTTCTTGAGGATTTTTTCCCTGACATTATCAAGATAGATTGGCAAGAAAAGGATGGCAAAACAATTCTGAAATCCCAGCAGGGAGACACTATGAAGAAGACTAAGGACACATACATGAAATTCAGCTGGCTGACTGTGACTGAAGCATCAATGGATAAAGAACACAAATGTATCGTCAACCACGAGAGTGGTAAAACAAAGGTTAATCAAGAGATTCTTTTTCCTTCAATAAACAAAGGTATGTGCATATAAACACGAATATAACCTCCCAGAACCCTTTGTTTCAAAGGGAAAACCTTACCTTTTCTGCCAAGTATTAATGAAAACAAGCAAATAGAAAATTTTCACTAATGTTGTTGCCTTTAATGAAAGCATAAATGTCCTGCTATTTCCCCACAGAATTAAACTAGTATGGGCTTTGAGGGCACCTGGGTGGCTCACTTGGTTGTGCATGACTCCTCATTCAGCTCAGGTCATGATCTCAGGGTCCTGAGATCAAGCCCAGTGTCAGGCCCAATGCTCAGCATGGCTGCTTGAGGTTCTCTCCCTCTATCCCTTCCCCCCGTGCTCTCTATCTCTTGAAATAAATAATAAATCTTTTTAAAAAAAAAACAGTATGACCTATGGAACATACAGAGAAAAAAAGAAAGACAAATTCAGTTAGCCTTTCTCACCTCAGTTTCATCTTCCAAAATATTAATGTCACAGTGATGTTTTTTATAGTCATTTCATAGATTAAATGAAACAATATACGTGAAAGCACCTAGCAGCTTCACATACAAGAAATTCTCAGAGAATCCAATTTTGATGGTTTTACTTGATCAGGAAATAAGAACAATTATATCTTTCAAGAATGTTTTTCTGAGCATCACAATCCTTCTCACTTCAATCTTGCTCTACTCAAAGAATGACCCACAAACAATGAGTTATAGGGGAAAAATGCTGTTCATTTGATGGAGCTGAATCATAGCTCAACCAGAATAGTAATTAGGCTACTGAGGTCTTAGTATGGTCTTGAGTTTTTTCAGACTTGAATTTTACATATCAGCAAAAGGTGAAGTTAATAAGTAAAGACTGGGTGAAGCTAGCATGTATAAAGTTTCTTTGATTCTATGCAATGAATGTATTTCTTACCTTTGGTAAATCTGTTCAGCAAACATTATTGCAGTCCTATTTTGTGCCAGGCCTGGTAGGCATGCAGGATGAACTAGTGTCCCAAGGAGGATCACTACAGTAGAGAGAATACACTTTTCCTAATCACTCAGTGTCACTCATGATTCAGGCATAATTCAGGCATGGTGTCCCAAAGGAACCCAATTGTAGACGCTGGACATATTTAGATAGTGTGGGTGGACGGCTAAAGTGCCCTGGCCCTGCTGTGATCGAATAACTCACTAGACTCAGAAATCAAGTCCTGCCATTAACATCACACACCAAGGCCCCAGAGGGCCCATAAGAAGGAACCAGTTTGTACTTTTCTCTGTGGTTCACAAGCACTTTTTAAGCAGTGGGGAACAAACACATAAGACATGTGAAGACCTTTCTATATACAAGTCAGTCTTTGTGTTCTTAGAATGTTGAAAAAAACCCACTTAGTTTAAGGCTCAAGTCACTAAACCAAGACTTAATCCCTAACATGAGGGCAATTTAACATCCCAAAAGAGTAACCTTTAGCCAGTCAACATGGAAATTTCCTGGTCAGCACCATGAAACAGCCCTTCCCTTCCCTTCCAGAGGGTGACCTTGCCTAAAACAATGGATTCTTTGAATTTTCTTTTTTTCTGCTCCCTCTCAATTGTTAAAACATTTTCCTTTCCTGTAGTCCTTTTGAGGTCCCCTCTACTTGCTAGATGGGTTGCTGTGTGATTCATTAATTGACTGATTAATAGTGCCATTAGATCTTTAACATTTACTTAGTTGAATTTTTGTTCTTTAACAGATTTGATGGCAGAGATGGAATCCAAAGTGGACTCCCAGGGACATTCAGAGACAGAACAAAACACAGAGGTGGTAACTGTGAACCCTTTGAGTTCACAATCCTTCTCACCTGTTCCAGGGGCTGTGGGTGAGTTCTTCTTGGTTCTAAGCTCCATTCTCTTTGTGTTCAAACTCCTAATCTAACTGACTTTGCTTTGCAGGGCAAGCCAGCTTGGGCTGCCAAAGTGTTATGCTAGCATGTTTTTCTGGAGCTCTGTTGAGCTGGTATATTTGCCCAGAGTCTAACTGAACTGGCAGAAGGGTCGGCTCACAAGCAAGCCCCAACCTTTCAGATCAAGTTCCCCAGGTGGAAACCTCGGTAAGTTTTCAGGAGAATTGTTGGTGGTGCACACAGAGTCTTCCTGTGGTCAGAACTCAGTAACATCTCTTACTGTCCTACACTAATGTACACATAATTTTAGTCTTCAGTATAGATAAAGGATACTGCCAACAGAGGAACAGGAAGGTGGAAAAAGCCACAGAAATTGGTGGGCATGAGTCAAGCATTTAGAGGTTGTAAGAGCATTTGCTACCTCAAGCATTTGTTACCTCAAGAAAACTCCCTTGATTGTATGAGTTGGTCAGGAAATGGGTTGGAGCAGCACTAGGTACCCATCAACCTCAAGAAAACTTCTGTGCAAGGAGCTACACTGTAAAACACAAAATTCTCAATACCAGACCCACATCCGTTTTAGGTATTTGTTTGGCTCTGAGAAGCTCAAATTCTTTTTTTTTTTTTATGAATGCCAGAAAAATAGCATACTATTTTTATTTTTATTTTTTTAAATTTTTAAAATTTTTTAAAATTTTATTATGTTATGTTAGTCACCATACACTACATCATTAGTTTTTGATGTGGTGATCCACGATCCATTGTTTTTGTATAACACCCAGTGCCCAAATTCTTAACTAATGGTATCTTTAAATTCTAAAGAGATTAGCTCACCACTCTCTGATATACCTGTTTTTTTTAATTTTTAAATATTATTTATTATTTTTTTCTGATATATCTGTTTATTTTTCACCTAAGAACTACAGTTCCAGATTAAAGATATGTAGCAAAATTGCAAAATCTTTATTTTTAAAGATTTTATTTTATTTATTTGAGAGAGAGATAACGAGTTGGGGGGCAGAGGAAGAAGGAAAAGCAGACTTCCCACTGAGCTGGGAACCTGATGCAGGACTGGATCCCAGCACCCCAGGATCAGGACCTTAGCTGAGGCAGATGCTTAACTGACTGAGCTACCCAGGCGAGCCCAAAGTTGCAAAATCTTAAAAGCTTCTTTTGTGTCTTGAGGAACTGGCTTGGTAACCAACACGTTGGAGATCCCAAAAGTACAAAACAGTTTACCATCAATGTCTAACCTGTCAGGTCCATAGTCCTGGAAAAACTGTTTACTCTCCAGAGGCTTCATGCCTCCTCCCTCTGGACTCTTTGAACATCTGCAGTTGGATTTCATTCCACTGCCACTTAGTGTGGGTTGTCAATATTCCCTTGTCATTGTGTGTATATTTTCTGCCTTTCCCTGATGCCCGCACTGTGGTAAAGACACTTAAAAAATGGGTCTCCCCCTTGGGGCACACCTTCTGTGATCTCCAATGACCAGGACACCTACTTCACTGGGCAAATCATAGGAGCCTTTAGGAAAATCTTGCAACCTTCCTGGAATTGTCTCAGTGTACAACCTTCTGCTCATTCTTTGTGTTGCCTGTTTGTCTGACCAGCTAGTGTAAGTCTCCAGTGTCTGATGCTCAAGCCTGTCATCACCAGGTTATGGAAGCCTTCCTAGTTCACAATTAAAAGGATTCTCTCAGTCACAGGTTGCAGCCTGGTGATTAGGTATTTTAGAAACAACATTGGAGGAAGACAGCCCTCGACATCCCAGTAGATGAGGGACTTTACCAAGTGCTCCTGCTGTGAAACTAACCAGTGTGGAGGTTCCTCAAGGAATTAAAAATAGAGCTACCCTATGACCCAGTAATTGCACTCCTGGGTATTTACCCCAAAGACACAGATATAGTGAAAAGAAGGGCCATATGCACCCCAATGTTTATAGCAACAATGTCTGTGATAGCCAAACTGTGGAAAGAGCCAAGATGCCCTTCAACAGATGAATGGATAAAGAAGATGTGGTCCGCATATACAATGGAATATTACTCAGCCATCAGAAAGGATGAATACCCGACTTTTACAACAACATGGATGGGACTGGAGGAGATTATGCTAAGTGAAATAAGTCAAACAGAGAAAGTCAATTATCATATGTTTTCACTTATTTGTGGAACATAAGGAATAGCATGGAGGACATTAGGAGAAGGAAGGGAAAGATGAAGAGGGGGAAATCAGAGGGGGAGATGAACCATGAGAGACTATGGACTCCGAGAAACAAACTGAGGGTTTTAGAGGGGAGGGGGTGGGGGGATGGGTTAACCCAGTGATGGGTATTAAGGAGAGCATGTATTGCATGGAGCACTGGGAGTTATACAAAAACAATGAATCATGGAACACTACATCAAAAACTAATGATGTAGTGTATGGTGACTAACATAACATAATACAATTAAATTAAATTTAAAAAAAAACTAAAGGTTGAATCTTGTACACATCCCACAGCTACAGAAGTCTCCACCTGACACCTGGTCCTGCCCAGACATGGAGGTTCTGAATCAATTTGAGAGTAAGAAAAGTAGCTGACATCCAAACAGACTGCTTTCACCTAAACAGGGGTTCAAGACTTCATACTTTAACTAAATATGAAATCCTTTCTCCCTCTTTTCTTTTACTCTAGCAATAGCCTATATTTCCCTGGTCATTGCCAAGGGGTTAACCTCTGGAATTTAGAGCAATATTTTATTTCAAGCTAGCAGAAAATCTAACCCTAGTCCTAATTTTTCTCAAGGTAAATAAGACCTCTCATTGGTTGACTTCCCTAAAGATATATCCTAAGTTAGTAGGACTACCAAGAAGCCACCAGGATTCACTCCTTTGGCTGGCCCTACTTCCCTGGTTAGGGATAACTGGAAATGAGGGATGATCAAGACTTTCTCCTCTATTCTTAAAATTGTTGCAGAATCCCACCGAAAGCAATGGGTACCCAATAAAAATCCTTAGACTCTGAACAAAGCAGTTCTTGAAAGTAAGATAGCCCTTGATTATGACTCAGCTGAACATGGCTGGATCTGTGCTGTAGGCAGCACCATGTGCTATACTCAGATGAACACTATTGGGGAAGTTAAAACCCAATAAGATCAGGGTGCAAACCACTTGGCTTAACTGAGTGACTTCTTCGTCAGTGTCTTTCTTACTTATTTGACTTTAATTGCTTTGAGTCTTGGGACCATGGCATCAAATTGCACTCCAAACGTGGGGAATTATCCTGTTTATTGGCATCAAAGCAATCTGTCTGGTGTTTTATGTTCTCTCAAAAGCTTGGCATGCAATTTCAAAGCCAGTAATCTCCAAGCAAATGATCTTTTAAGACTGGAACGTCACAAAGAATGAAGATAATGACCAACTCAAAAATTGTAAAACTGAAGTGGTAACCTGGGATCATCACGAAGGTTAAGCAAAAAGGTCAAGAGCTGTGAATATCACCTAGAGTAACAACAAAAACTGTGAGAACTTCAGAGCAGTTGCTGAGAGTGGTGTTAATGCCTTCAATTTTGATCCTATCTCTCAGTTAAGCTAAGAGTCTGATCAAAGGCAGGGTTGTTAAAAAGGAAAACCACAGGCTCAAAATGTACTCATTTAGCTTAAGACCACAAGTCAGTAAGCCATGTCTTCATACCTACCCAAGTGCCATTTCAACACCCAGAACTGTAACCTTTAACCTGTGGACATGGGAATTTCCATGTCAGCACTAGGAACTTACTGACTGAATCTACTGAATTACACAGAATCAGACCAACCATTTAGGGAATTGTGGGGCTCAAATTAGTAATGGCTTGCCTCTCTGTTGACTAATTGTTATCTATTTATCATCTATCTATCTATCTATCTATCTATCATCTATCTATCATCTATCATCATCTATCTATCATCATCTATCTGTCATCTAACATCTATCCACAATCCAGACAATGTCAAAGAAGGATATGAACAATTGAATAATACATGTTCTCATTTCTTTTAGAGCTCGCTGTTATTAACTCCACAAAATATTCTCTGAATGATGAAAACAGTAAGTTTTTGTCTATGTTTGCCTTTATGTTATGCTATAGCATTTTTTCCACCTGATCAACATAACTTTTGAACTTCCCTGGCTTCAGGGAGAAACCTCAGAATGGCTGAATCTTGCAAAATAGATTGAGTGATATTTAAAGTCAATCCATCATTTCTCAGGAGTGTTCTTCACACAGTAAATGCAGGTTTGGGTGTGAGAAGACTATAATTAGGGGTGCAGTGATGTGCTCTGAATTCTTTCAACACTGGACTTCATTCACTTCTGTGACCTTTGTTTCCACTGACTGAGGAAAACATGCTATCAAGTTGCTTCTAGATATTTTTAAGTCCTTGTTCTTGCTGGTGGTTAATAACATGAACTGACACAGAGCTTCTTGTATGGAAGGCATTGTGCTGCCCCGTAAGTGCGTTTTGTTTAATTCCTTTAAGAGTCACTGCCAAGTTTATTCCCATTTTACACATGAAGGCAATGAACAGAAATTATTTAAGTCTCCATGCTACACAGTGAGATCGATGGCTTCATCCCAGACCATCTGAATCAAGAGTTCATATACTTCCTTAGTTTTTATCCTTCCTGAAATCCCAAAGCCAAGGCCCTGAGACAGGTGCACACAGGAGGGGATGTGAGTCCTGGGTTTCAAGTGTCACAGACTGCACTTAAACTCCATTCTTTTAATTATCAGTTGCATGAGTATGGGTAAACTATTTACATTTTTTGAACCCACCAAAAATGACACAAATACCACCTAATTCAGTTATAGAAGATATTACATGGCATATGTAGAATGTCTAACATAGGTATCTCATTTAACTGCTTCATCATAAGTACTAGCTCCTGGCTCTTTCTCCCCATTTGAACAAAGGTAATGATAAAGAGCATTGGTTCTAGCCCTGCTGATCCACCCTCCATGTTCAATATCAAGGGACTTCTTGACTCTAATCATCATCATCATCATCATCATCATCATCATCATCATCTTCATCCCACTTTATAGTTTTGCTTAATCATTTTGAAGTTGGTATTTATTGCATGTGGAGATGAATTACAGAGCAGCTGTGAAAGTGTTCTTAAATGCTGTGTTGCAGGGATTGAAATCTGGATTATAGTACTTACTAGTTGCATGAAATTGGGCAAATGGCTTCTCTCTCTGTCCAGTTTATTTGTAAAATGGGAATGAAAATTATAACCTCATAGGTTATTGGAAAATTAAATAAGATTTAAGCTTTGCACACAAAGTTCTCAAAATAAGTGACATTTAGTTTGTACTTAATGGATACTGCCTCTTACTCTTACTTAGAGACACAGTGGGATTGAAGAAATGCCAAAAGATATTTATCACCAATGCCTTTTTGCCCATTGGATTCATCCATTATAAACACAACTTTACTTTTTAATACCTTGGAAATTCTAGGTGAATTTCACAGGTGTTTGACTTACTTGACCTGCAAACTGGGTTCTGAGTTGTCTCAGTGGTGGTAGTGGTGGTGGTGATGGTGGTGGTGGTGGTGATGGTGAGGTAGGTGTTTACTATCCATTGTGCTGGTGTGAGACTGTCACTTTAACTAAGTCACCAGAAATGTATACTGTCACCTCTCTACCATTAATAAGTCCTAGCCCTTCAAAACAACACATGAAATTAATAAAATGCTTCTTTTAGACACCCTGCAGCTGCAACTCGTGAACACCTCTGCCTATTACACCTACCTCCTCCTCCTTGGGAAGAGCCTGGTCTACTCCACCATCATCGCCATCTGTCTGCTTGGGAGACCAGCATTCTATGGCAATGGAAAGAGTTCCTAACACATGGTGGCACCAAAGTCCCACTTTTTCCCGTTGGCTATTGTCCCTAAAAGTGTCTGCTAATGATCTAGTGTGGCTCCTTTCTGAGATTGGGTTATTCCAGTTCACATGTGTCTTTTTCTCTTGTGTCATTACTGAAGACTGGGTTTACAAACCGCTGGGCAAACAGAAACTTTCACTCTGCAACAAGAATAAATGTGGCCATGACTCTGGGGCCGGGACAGAAGGCCATCCACAGGGGCTTCAGCACCACCCTCTCATTATTGTTCACCAGCTCCTCAGCCACCCAGTCCCCACGCCCCTTGGTATAGCCACCATACAGGTTACATCTGTATCTCTTGGACTCTTTAACCAGATAACTGCCTCAAAGCCTTTTATTTTACATACCTGGAAGCCGCCATCCTTGTTACCTTAAGTTTGTAGTGTTTTTCATAATAGGCACAATAAAAGCAATCAAAAGTCTAATTTGGCCTTTGTGTAATTTATTTGGTGCAATTTAACTGAGAGTTCAAGATAAGGGACAGCATGACAACTGAGCCAACCTATTCAGCATTGGTTGTAATAATGGTCAATTCCACATTTTTAATTCTTTCCATCAGATAATCTTTATGATGTCTTCTTTGGGGCACTGGCCCCAGGAGAGCCACAGCCAGTGAAGGTGCCCAGGTTATTTCTCCTTCAAAGGTCAGCAGATTCAGACTCATTTGGTTGAAGACGCTCTGGTGGTGACAGTATAACATGCCACATGACTGGCGGGTGTGCTAGGACCTATCCCAGTGTGTCATAGGCACCATGTTTCCTGATCACACAAGAACCCCATGAGAGCTGCACTAACACTGGAAAGGTAGGGTGGTGGAGGGGATAAGTGCTTGACTTTGAACCCCTAAGGCCTGGGCTTAAATTTGGGTTCTATAGTTCTTTGTGACATAATTTTCTCATTTGTCAGTTGGAGTTAGAGTGATCTGTCTCCTGGAGTTGTGTGGATGAGATAATTTTATCAGGTACAATTAAAAGGATTATTCACCATGACCAAGTGGGATTTATTCCTGGAGTGCAGGTTGGTTCACCATCCGCAAATCAATCAATGTGATACAATATATTAATAAAAGAAAGAACAAAAACCATATGATCCTCTCAATAGATGCAGAAAAAGCATTTGACAAAGTACAGCATCCTTTCTTGATTAAAATTCTTCAGATTGTAGAGATAGAGGGTACATACCTCAATATCATAAAAGCCATCTATGAAAAACTCATAGCAAATATCATTCTCAATAGGGAAAAACTGAGAGCTTTTCCTCTAAGGTCAGGAACACAGCAGGGATGTCCACTATCACCACTGCTATTCAACATAGTATTAGAAGTCCTAGCCACAGCAATCAGAAAACAAAAAGAAATACAAGGCATCTGAATTGGCAAAGAAGAAGTCAAACTCTCACTCTTTGCAGACGATATGATACTTTAGGTGGAAAACCCAAAAGACTCCACCCCAAAACTGCTAGAACTCGTACAAGAATTCAGTAAAGTGGCAGGATATAAAATCAATGCACAGAAATCAGTGGTATTTCTCTACACCAACAACAAGACAGAAGAAAGAGAAATTAAGGAGTTGATCCCATTTATAATTGCACCAAAACCATAAGATACCTAGGAATAAATCTAACCAAAGAGGCAAAGAATCTGTACTCAGAAAACTATAAAATACTCATGAAAGAAATTGAGGAAGACACAAAGAAATGGAAAAACGTTCCATGCTCATGGAT